AACGTTAAATAAATTTTTAAAATAAAACAATATATATATATATATATATATATATATATATATATATATATATATATATATATATATATATATATATATATATATATATATATATATGTATATATATATATAATAGTTGAGCGCGGTACTACTAAGGATATGGTGGGGATCGAACTCGGCTTCAAGGTATGATGGTATTGATGATTGTGCCCCCCCCCCTTTCCCTTCAAAACCCATGTCGTCGGCCCTGGGTTTTATCTTTACACTCTCATAATAAGCGCATAATAAGTACCAAATCAATTTTAAAAGAAATTCTGACATCATAACAAGATCGTAGTCTGTAAATATTTTATTCATTATATCATAGAGTTATTCATAAATGTCGAAAGTTAAAACTAGATATTCACCACTAGAATTTCTAAGTTTATTGGACCTGGAAAAGATTTTATTCCTACTGAGGTACTTACAAACAGAGCAGTTATTCAAAACAACAATAACAACAATAACAACATATTTCGTATTACAGATGCTACAAAAATACAGATCATTGCAAATAGTGATTCACTAATAAAGTGCAATGACCTAAATAAGATAAAAAATAATAATAACAATAATAATAATAAGTAATAAGTAAAACCACATAAAAAAAGTAGGTTAAAAAAGGAAGTTAAATTAAATAAATTAACATAGTATTAACTAACAAAAGTAAAATTGCATATAAGTTTATTTAATTATACCAAAAAATCAGACTTTTTGAATTTATATAACATAATTAATACAATGTACATTTATATATGCACATATACTTAAACAAGAAATATAATAAAATAAGTAAATTATAATAAAAATAATTATATAAAATAAAATATTAGAATTAAAATTATAATAAAATAATAAACTATAATAAAAATAAAAAAATAAGTCAAAAGTAAAAGGTAAAAAGTAAAGTTAAGCGTTAAGGTAAAAATGATGGAGTGACTTTAAGAACAGATTCTTGAACCTAAGGATGAGACCTGATTTTAAGGTGTCCGGAAGGGAATCCTAAGAAAGAATATATTGGTATGTAATGGAGTTGATTCCATGTTTACTTGTCTGTTTTAGTGGGAGAGTTAATTTCTTATAAGTGACTGGTCTTTGGTTATGCCCACATGTTGCTCTGTTATTGAAATAGTTGATCCCAGACAAATGAACAATTTAAGAACTAAATTAAGTCATAGAAGCAAAGAATTTTGGATTTAAGATATAGGATGTCAGTAGCAAAATTTCTCGGACAAAAATGAGTAATCAGTACCGCTCTATTTTGAAGCGAAACAACTCTAGAGAGACATAGATTGTCCCCAAACTTGACATGCGTATTGTAAATATGAACCAAAAATGGAGATTTATATAGAGAGCAATGTTTCAAAGTTAACGTAATGTCAAACTTTTGCTAACATGCGGTTGGAACGGCTTAACTTCAGAATAAGATCGGATATGTGTGTTTTGAATGAAAATTTTTCATCTAACACAACACCAAGGTAAGTTATATTACTAGACATTTTTTGACCACTTAATCGAAAAACTTAATCGAAAAATTTTGGAATATTTTTCTTAGTTGTTTTAGAAAAGATAGTATTTCGAGTCTTAAATATAATTATTTCTGATTTTTAGTATTCAATGAGATTTTATTTACTCTAAGCCATTGAAAAAAACTTGCCATATCCTGATTAATATATTTATTAAGTTTTTTGAGAGAGTTTGTTATTAATTGTAGATTAGTATCATCAGCAAAATGATATGTTTTTGAATATTTGATAGAAAGATTGAGATCATTAATATAGATAATAAAGAGAAGTTGAGGTTGAGAGTGGTTGAGGTCTACAACAGTGAGTTGACCTTTAATGAAGCAATGTAACAGACCCAACGGTCTGAAAGACAATCCTTTTTCTCGTTTCCGGTTAAATCATACAGGAGTTTTCAATCCCAATGAAAGACAAGTAAAAAATCTTCTTTGAACTCATCCTTCAGCTTAGCTGGTTGAAAAGTGCGATGTGTCGGCCGCTGTAGTTGAATAGATTCCGTGTTCAACACGTAGTTATCAAGGCTATGACCAACGCTCTTGAGTGTTTCTGCAAAACAACTACTGCTTTACGGTTTGAAATTTTGTTCAGTCAAAGGCAGCTGCAAGTTGTGGCGTGACAACAAGATTTCTAGTTTTTTTGCGGCGAGCTAGAGTTTTTATTTTATTTACATTTTTGTCGTTGTTTACAAAGACAAACAAACAAGGCTTCTGAAAGAAAATCATAATAATCTTTTCATCAGAACCTTTTACAAGTTTTTTAAAAGTTTTTGTAAGTGCTTTTTCTTCACTGTTCTCCAATGCTGCTTCTATTTGATCACTATCATTATCCGAGCCACTGGTCAATAACACCAAAACTACAACCTCACTGTTCGCTTTAAACAATTCATTCATCCATTGGCTTCAACCACTGCTTCATCATGTCTTTTACTGCCCTCTTCTTTTTTGCGGCAAGCTTCGTATCAACACCTGCCATTGAACCTCGCCAGCTTTTTTCTCTCTGTCTTATTAAAAACTCTTTGTAATCTACAATCGTCATAACTTTGAGGGCGTCAGCATGCGCTAAATCGAACTGGTGTTCTAGAGTTGAAATTAAGTTATTTTGTCGGGCCTTCTGCGTGGGTATCTTACGCCCCTTATTCTTTTTTATAAAGCGCCACATTACAAAGACTTCCAGTTTTGCTTGACATTTTTGGTTATCTTATAAAGGTTTTCTCGCCTTTTGCTAAAACCTTTAAACCTCTCGCACTTTAAATGTAGACGACTCACGTATGACTTTATTCAGTTCAATATGATGATGTAAGAATAGGCGCAGTACCATACCCAAAGACGGCTCTGTAATTAATTCTGTGATTGTTGATTCTAGTAGAAAAAGCTTACTGTGCAATCTGGTTGCCATTTACGTTAATTTGATTGTTGAACTGTGCTCTTTAAACTTATAAAAACTAAAAAAAATCAAATTGTCAATCATCAACTAATGTAAACAAAACAACGTAATCAGCATCAGCTCCAAAGAATATTCACCTCTGAAATTATTAATTAGCATAGAACATTGTTTGCTATGATGGAAACAATTAAAATGCTCGGTTCAATTAAATCATCTCAAAATTACGTTTGATTCAGTAACTACTAGGAGTTAGCAGTGATTAGAGACATTACAACTTTGATATCATTGAGCTACCTCAAAATATTGTCCAATTGAGTCAATATTTGGTCTGAGTTATTTTTACATATAAAGGAACACCTTTAGAAGGTATGACATCCCAATTTTATAACTTCAAAAATAATTGTCACCCAAATACAGAAGGTTTCTATTTTGGTGAGGATAAGACTGATATAATCAGTTCAATTTCAGAATTAGCCTCCAAAAACAAATCCAACAATTGCTGAGACAGTTGAAAGTGAAATGATTGGATTTGTTGGAGAAATAACAACACTGACAGAAAAAAGAAGAGATATTTTTTAAAATGAGTGCAAAGAATTATTGGAACATTGTTGGTCGTCAGAAATACCCAGCAGTCTTTGAAGTTTGCAAAACCTTTAGTTGAACTAATTTCTTCGTCAGCAACAGCAAAAAGAGCTTGGTTGATTTTTTGATTTATTCATTCACGAATGAGAAAACGCTTGACAAATAAACAAATTAAAAAAAAAAAAAGTTTTCATATATACCAAAAGTGTTTTGATGGATACAAACGACAAAAATGACTACATTTTAGAGGAAGGAGCAGTTCTCAAAACTGACTACATTTTAAAGGAAAGAGTAGTTCTCAGTGAGTTTGAATGTGACGAAATTATAAATGAGCAAATGTAATACAAAAATAAGCTAAATTGTGATATAGAATATATAATACTTTGTTTTGTGATATAGAACTTTATAAGAATTTCGAAATTCGTTTAAAAATCATGAAAATAATTTGAAATATTTACTAATAAAAATAGTTACAGAAAATCAAATAAAAAATTATTTCTTTTAATTTAAAGTCATCTGCGTTTGATTTAAAAAAACATTTTCTTCTATATTTGACAATACTTAATTAATTTCTCATGCCATTTATCTGTTAAATTTGTACGTGCATCATATGCATATTATGCGCATAACTTTTGAATGATATGCGCATATTTTCGCCGATACGCGCCTAAGTTTCAAACCCTGAAATAAATTATTTTTGTAACACGTGTATTTGTTCATTTTTCAAAACCAAGTTCATGACTTTAACCTCAAGATGGAAATTTTAAAACTCGTTTTTTTCAAAAACTGCTGATAGGGCCAACTTGAACATTGCAGCAAATGAAAGCTTTTATTTTGTATTTTGGAAACCATATAAGGTTTAGTATGGCGCCTTTAACGATCTTAGAGATAATGACTGTTAAAAACTGTGAAAAAATTCACAGTTTTTATATCATTTTTATGAAAATTATCCAACTTTCTTCCTGAAATTCTATTATAATTAGCCAGAAAAATGTATTTTTATGTAGGTTCTTCATCCCTTATTGTTAAATAATAATTTTCCAAGTTTTAGATCAATAATCTTTTTTTTCATCACTTTTTTCCGAGTATACTCAAAATTCTTTTGGGTTTTAAAGTGTTTTTTTCTTCCAAATTGTTCAACTTTGCATGGCCATAACTTTTTATATAGATAAAAATTTCAAGTTTTTTTTAAACTTAAATCTGCATGTCATTTAAGTATACAAAAATTAAGTTAAATTTTAATTTCAAAACATTGAATATTTTACTCATGTCCACCATTTAAACCACTGTGGGTGGGGAAGCCGGGTCGGGTCAATTTATAGGGCATCATCATTGGATCTCATTTCTAATAGAATCCTATTTAAATCTATATTGCGAATTGTTGGTTAAGTAAAAAAAATTAATTTTAATAAATATATAAATATATTTCCTAAGAATGAGCGCCGAATATAAATAAGAAAAACGTTATGCTAAAAATATAAATAACAATAATTAAAAAAAGATTTATAGAAAAAAATATTTCTGATCTCATTTAAAAACTTGTATCTTTCGAAGATTTTGAATCATCGCTTCCATGACTGACATAACCTTCATTGGAATTACCTAAGACTCCGTACGAAAAATCTGTAGGCGACTCAACAGGCAAAGACACCATAGACACCTGATCCGTAGAAAGACAAGATTGTTGCATTTGAAAATCAATAGTATTAAGTGAAATAAAAGAACATTTTCGTGGAACATTTAAATATCCATCAGGAAAAATATTTTTGCCAATCTTGGAAGTATTAACATTAGGTTCTAGGCTGGAAATAATGCCAGATCTACGGATGTTTTTAGTAAGTTCCAACGTGCAAGAGTAAATAATAGAATATTCCTCCTTATGAAAAAATAAGAATTATCTTAAGCGAGCATTTAAAAATAAAATAAATATAACAATTTAATAAATATCATGTTCCATGTAAAAAGAGAAAAAAATAAGTATGCAACAGCATTAGACAATAAATAACATACCCTCGTTTGGATCAATGCATATCTTTGTTGGCGCAACATATACACTGTTCGAACAATGTTGACACTACCTGTAATTGAACTTTCTTCAATGAGAGATCTCAGAGCAATAATGACACCTGGGCGTCCAGATCCAGTGCTGTTAAAAAAAATCAATTATCTTTTTTTTTATCAAAACAAAACGTTTATTTAAAGGTTTCATAAATTTTATTGCTAGAGTAAGACTTTTTGTTTTAACGGTTTAACCGAAAAAACAAGAAATTTAATTGAACTGCTTATGTAATTTGGTGGAAAAATGTGTTTTGAATAACCCAAAATATAAAATAAGCGAGGTAAGCGAGGTAAAAGGAAACACTTATGTTTACAATATAACATTTGCAACTCTGTTTATATTACTTATAACTCTGTTTAAGACACTTAAAAATCTTATAAAAAATGTTGAGTTTTTTTTGTTCCAATAACCACAATTTTTTGCAAAGTATCTTTTGATATAAGTTTAAACATAAATGTTTTAGCTCCATGTCTGGAATTTAGATATGGTGAAAATTTATTTTCACTTTTTTTTTTACTTCACAAAATTGTTAATATATTTTTCTAATGCAATTTAAAACAAATTAACAATTTGTTTAATGACTTAATAGATTTTAATTAATTCATAAAATAAACCACGATTCTGAAGAATAAAAAGATTCAGTTTCTGAAATACATTCATACAAAGAACAAAAGTCCCAAAATAGATAAAAGTTCTATTATAAATTGTAAACAATTCACTAGATTTTGCTTTGTCTAAAATTTTGATTTAAAAAAATTTGAGTAATATAAAACAGTATAAAAATACTTCGTGAAATGTTTAATAATTTCAATTTAAAAAATAATTTCACAAATTTGTAAAAATTGAATTTATAAAAATATCATTATTTAATATTTATTTGAAAAGTATAACAATACGTTTTGTTAATAAATTTGTAAACAATTCCTGTAGAAATCAATCAACATAACAAATTCACCACCCAACTGCCTACGCAACTGCAAATCTATGCAACTTTTGTTCTTACCAAAATTGTGGATATGTCATTTGGAAGTTAATGAACTTACAAACTTTAAAAAGTTTCGAAATTAGGATGGTTCTCACCTAAAATTAATTTACAACACAAAAGTTGGTAAACAGCTTATGTAAAAGTTGTTTATAATTTGATATTGAATAAGGTAAGTTATGTTTTTTTTTATCACTATTTTATGTATGTCACTTTTAAACAATAATTGTATTTTAATAAAAATTTTTAAGAATTTTCACAATGTAAAAACAGATCAATAAAGAGTAGGACTACCTCTAACAGAACACGTAAAGTTTATTTTTGTTTGATGACATCTTTGTGAGAGTAAAAGGATTTTTTTGTGCATCAATTTGAAAGAATCAAAATTTACTAATTTAAAACCTCAACACTTTTAAATGATAACCTAGTTTTTACTAACCAAGTTTTTAATAATCTAGACTTTAAAAATACAGTACAAACATAGCTTCTGAATTAAAAAAAAAACAACATTTTTTGAACAAATTAAGTAAATATTCTTAAAATTTTTGAAACAATATTATTTTGAGTTCTTTTAAAGGTAATTTTGTTGTAAATTTGCAAGTTTTTTGAAACAAAAAATTTGCAAATTTAAATATAATGTATAAAATATAATTAAATTAAATGTAAATTTGCAAGTTTTTTGAAACAAAAAACGTCAAAAGCGCTTAGTAAAAGTAGAGGCAAAACTTACCTCTACTGTGTCATACATTTAAAAAATATTTAACATTTCTACTTAAATATTCTAAGAACAACTGAGGTAAGTAAGCACTTTTTTTTATTCATATGATTTTAAAAAGTTTAAAAGTGACTATTCTTTTTTTCTTTAAATTATTTATTTTTGGTTAAAAGTAAGAAACAAATTTAATTTTTTATTTACTTTTTTTGTTTTTTTTGTTTCTTTTTCAGCAAGAGTTAGGTAAACTGAAAAAGCTAATGTAATGGAGAAAAATAAAAATATATTAATGAACTTGATTGTTTCACAAAACTTATTAAATTGTACAAAATCATTAGGTCAAACTCAGTAACATACTTAGCCATTGAAGAAATATTTTGTAAAAATTGTGGACTTTTTAATTTACAAGAGTTCAAAAATGTGTGTAACACATTTTTGAACTCTTGTAAACTAAATGAGAAATGTAAAGCCTGAAAGAAAAACATTTCAATATAAAAACAGATACATATTTATACTTTCTAAAATATTCTAAGAGCAACTGAGACAAACTAGCACCAAAAAACAAGCATCAAAAGACATTTTTATGAAGTAACAGTTGCCCCCATCAAAACAAAGAAATTTTTAAAATGAAAACCCCAGTGTTTTTGATAAGGAAACACAAACTAACTAAGACTTGCTAAATTTTATTGCCCCAACGACTGATAATGCACGAGAAACTAAATGCCTTAGGACATCTTTTCTAATTAATAAACTTTAAGAACCAGACCCCCAAAATCAGAAACCTTTTAAATTTTTTTTTCTTTAAGTAAATTTAATAAATTATGTTTTTAGCTTTCATAAACACTGATTTTTTAAAAATGCCTACATATTGTCATTAAAACACAGTCCACTAAGTTGTATAATTATAAAAAAATTACATTTTCCTATAGCCAGCATAATATCTCGACAGGTAATTTTTCAAAATTACCTGGCTAATTTTGGGTAATACTAAACTTTGTAGTTTTTTTTCTAAATATTTTTGTAAATAAAACTTTTTTAATGCGATCAACTTTAATTAGTGGAACCCCTTAAACTGCATGTTTTATAACATAAATCCATCCTTATGACATTTGACGAGGTTTCAGTAGTCCTAGCTGTACATAAGTGCTTATAAAATTTTGGTTTATATATTATTAACATTATTGCTAAAAAAAAAAACAATTTTTAATATTTATCATGTAACATACAATTTTGTTTGTAATATAATTAATATCATTATTATATTTAACAAAAAAAAGTTAAATTTTTAAAAATGACCAAATTAGAAGATGTGAGTTCTCAAAAAAAAATCACTTTTTTGGGAATACCTTTTGAATAGAAACACAGAAGATAATGCAAAGTGCAAGATTTCAGCTGTTTTGAAAGTATTAGAAACAAAAATCCTTATCTACCACGTTTAAGAAAAGAAACAAGATTAAAGCTAAATAAATTGGTCACTAGAAAACCAATCAACACCGAAGGTTTTCTGTATTGATACTTTCCTCAAAAATCGGCTTAAAACTACTAGATGTGGTGATAAGCAAACTGATTGCAGTTGGTGGCTTAAGTTTTAAACAAAATGAAAATAATATTCTATTTATAAGAGCAAGGAATATTTATATAGAGAAAATGCTGACATTAAAACTTGCAGAAAAAAATTCTGAATTTGCTGGTAAAAAGCTAAGAGATCAAAATAATAAGCTTTAATAAGTTATTGACATTAATAAGCTTTGCTCTCATGGAAAAATTTGAACTAGGAATTCAAGAGTGAAGAAACTACAATCTTGTTAATTAATAACTTAATAAATTGTTTAAAATTTCCAGACATTTTGGCAAAGCAAAAGTTTGGATTAAAAATAAAAAGATGTGAAAATATATTCCTGGATACTTTACTTATAAACAGACTGTATCTACAGAAAGTATGTGAAGAACTACCAGTTGATTTGGAAATTAAGGTAGCATTTGTAGCAGATCATATGTTAAAAATTGAAAAAAATTAAATTATTTGCTTTAGAAGTTTTTGTTTTATTCATTTAAAAGACATAGGATTAAGCTAAGCATAGATGAAAATGGATTTAAATTTTTGAAGTTATTGAGTTTATTTAAAGCTACTTGTGTGAAACTTGTTTTATACTACTTATACCTTAAAGTTACTGAAAAGCAAAACCACAATCAATAAAGACAGGCCTTTTTTTAGCCATGATATTATTTGCCACAAAATTAAGAAATTGATTGGGCAACAATACCCATTATGCTTTGATTTTATTTAATATGAAAAACTTTATAAAGAAATGTAGCTTAAAGATTAATAGCTATAAAACTTTTGAATTTTTTTCTGCTAAAACATTTTTCTTTTTTTTATCTAAACTTACGTTTTGGTTGCTATAATATTGAAAAAAAATAACTTATAAAATTATTCAAGTAATACAGGGGTAGATTTAAAATTAACCCATATGGAGGTGATTTTTTTCTGCCAGGTGTATAAAACCATTTTATTCTAAATGATTATAATACAAAGTTTTCAAAAAGCATATTTTGACAAATATGAATGTCTTATCTTAATGTACCATTACTGTTAGAATCAATGTGTCATCTTAATGTATTATTACTGTTAGAATCAATTCTGTAATAAATCTAAGTATTAGTTCATTATTGGAAATATACACAAATTATTTAACAATAAACAGACAAATTTACAGATAGGACATCTAACAAAAAGATAAACTTAGAGAGGCAGGAACTAAGAGTTATATTTAAAGTAATAAAAAGTTATTATAAAAAACAAAAAAATAAAAACAAATAACATTATCTGTAAAAAAATACATATTATATAAGTTATAAAGTATGTAATCAACTTTCAATCTTTTTTCAGTTTGGAATTAAATAAGACATAAATTGTTTAAAAAAAAATATTTTTAGATAAAGTTTTGAGAAGCCATAAAGTTAATGTAAAGTATAAACCATAGTTTTAAGAAAAAATAATTAATATTAAATATGGATTGACAACTAGTGAAAAACAAAAGCATTTAAAAATCTAAAACTTTTTGTTAAAAACCCTAAAAAACTGGTTGTTAATTAAACATATTTAAATTGGTAAGTAATTTGATTTTCTACTGGTAATAATGCTTAAATTTAACATATTTATTTTTTAACAAAATCAATATGTTAAATTAAGCGTTATATTTATATGTAATATGATATAATTTATATGCAATATGTTATATAAAATGTTAAATTAAGTGTTAACTCATGCAACAATTTTGCATGAGTTAACACTTAATTTAACATTATAAAAAACTGCAACAAAACAATATCATTATTGCAGAACTTTTTTTCCTTCTATGCACATTATTTTTAAATAGATAAATTTACAAAAATGACAAAATCATAAAGATTAAATTAGAAACCTGGAAACCAGCGCAATACTTTTTGCTTTTAACTTCTCCTTCCAGGAACTAGACTGTTCAACAATTTTTACTAGACTTGACATAGAGCTGGATGAAATATTTTCATCATTTGGCCAAGCAAGATATTGATAAAAAACAACAAGTTTTTCTTCTCCACTCTAATTAAATATAGTAATATAAATAGTATATAATACTGAATATATATAATAACAAAACAAAATGTTTCTTCTCCACTCTAATTAAATATAGTAATATAAATAGTATATAATACTGAATATATATAATAACAAAATAAAATGTTTCTTCTCCACTCTAATTAAATATAGTAATATAAATAGTATATAATACCAAATATATATAATAACAAAACAAAATGTTTCTTCTCCACTCTAATTAAATATAGTAATATAAATAGTATATAATACTGAATATATATAATAACAAAACAAAATGTTTCTTCTCCACTCTAATTAAATATAGTAATATAAATAGTATATAATACTGAATATATATAATAACAAAACAAAATGTTTCTTCTCCACTCTAATTAAATATAGTAATATAAATAGTATATAATACTGAATATATATAATAACAAAACAAAATGTTTCTTCTCCACTCTAATTAAATATAGTAATATAAATAGTATATAATACTGAATATATATAATAACAAAACAAAATGTTTCTTCTCCACTCTAATTAAATATAGTAATATAAATAGTATATAATACTGAATATATATAATAACAAAACAAAATGTTTCTTCTCCACTCTAATTAAATATAGTAATATAAATAGTATATAATACTGAATATATATAATAACAAAACAAAATGTTTCTTCTCCACTCTAATTAAATATAGTAATATAAATAGTATATAATACTGAATATATATAATAAAACAAAACTTTTCTAAAACTTTCCATCAGTAGAAAAGTCAACCAAACAAATATAATTTAAATAAATAGTATATTTAAATGTTTTTTTATAAAAAATCAAAATAGTAAAAACTTGATAAATACAATACAAAAATAGAGATATTTATGATGAATACAATATAAAAATAAAGATATTTAGGTTGATCAGATAAGTGTCCTCCTTTAACACAAAATATTAAAAATTGATCTTCAAAATAGGAAAAACCCACTCAGGGTGTTTAAAAGCAATTTGAATAAAAAAATTTACTTTACCTTGTTATTCAGAATCTGAATGCGACGAAATATCACATCTTTTATATGAAGTTCTTCAAATACTAATTTTACAGAGAGATCACCAAAAACCATCATAAAGCCTTCTTCAGGCCAAAATGTTTCTGTACATAACTTATTGAAAACAAAATAAACAAAAACTTTAATGAATGGGCGAAAAAATAAACAAAAAAAAAAAAAACATAAATCATATTTATTTTTAACTAGCATTATATATATAATATATAATATAAATTTATTATAACTTCAGGTTTCAGAATTAGGGTCAGCATTTGGCAATGTTGATCTAACTGCTGACCTTAAAGTGTTTGAGTCAGGTTAAAATTGCTGACCTCATTTCTATGTCTTATGGTAAAACCTTTGTATCAATTTTTTTTTTGCTGACAAGATGCGGCCTCTATAAGATTGAGGTCGGCAATAATTTTCCGACCTCATTTTTTCTAATTCCAAGGGTTATAACTTACAAACAGACTAATGGCTAAGAATAAAATGAATAAATGCAAATAATAATAATAATAATAATTGTAATAATAATAGTAATAACAACAACAACAATAATAATAATAATAATAACAACAACAATAATAAAAATAATATCAATAACAATAATAATAATAACTAGCTGACTGGACCTGTAAAAACATGGATCTTTGTAAGTCTATTCCACATCAACCTTTTCTATACTTTTTCCTTATATATATTCTAGCTTTGTAGACCCATAAAATATGAGTCTTTACCAAACCTACCATTTTTATACTTATCTATTCCACACCGATCATTTCTATACCTATTCCTTAATTACTTAAATAATTTTTAGTAAAATAATTCATTCTGAAAAATTGCTTTAAGAGCAAAAAATTAACATTCGCACCTTTACCCATATGTAGAGCTTGTAAGAGATTTATAATTATGTTGGTTTTTCTCCTATATGAATATCATTGATAGCTCAGTGGTTTAGTGCTCTGTCATTAGTGTCACTTCGGGGGTTTAAACCTCCCCTTAGCATAATAAGTTTTAAAATTTTTTAAATCTTGCTTTTATATTTGTAGCAAAAAATTAAAAATATAGCAAAAAAAAGATTTCTAATTGTTAAATAAAATTTTAAAGTTTTCTTATTTTATAGATTTATTATACATGATTGTTCAATATACTGCCTGCAAACTCAGCATATGCTTAAGATGTTTGTACATAGCATTACATAAATGGCTAAGATCTTAGACCAATAAAAACTATAGACGTGGCCTTTACTATAAAATGATAATCTAAAAAATAAGCAAAAAAAAATTTGGCACAGTGTTGTCAGTTAAAAATAAAATTTTTAAAGTTTTTTCTAGGTAACGGCTTTTTTTGCCTGTTCAGCAGCACCTTCTGGAGTGGCAGGACTGCCTTATTACATTTTTTCTTTATTAAGTTTCAGACGATAAAATTATTTTCAGACCATCCGCAGCTAATTAAGACTAATAACCTGAGCACATTAATAACGTAATTATTTTAATCATTACACATACACAACAAATTTCTCATGTTTTTATGTTTCTCAAACTTTTAGCTTTTTTAAAAATCCTTTTGTTTGTTATAGTGTATAATATCTTTACATATGTTATGTATGTAATATCTATAAAAATTCAAAAGTGTTTTATTTTGTATTTTAAAAAAACTGAAAAAGTTCAACAAAAAAAATGGCATGTTGACTAATGAAAATTTATAATAAGTAAAACCGAAATAAATGAATAAAACGGAAATAAATTTGAATTAAAGAGATACCGCAATATAATTTTCAAGTGAAAGTAAAACTGTAAAACTTGTTTTTTCCTTAGAGATTCGAGTTAACAAAAATTTACTGTTAAATATTGTTTTTAGCATTCTTCAATTGATGATATTTTTAATTAAAACAATAATAAAAGTTTTGTATTAATTTTTTTTAATTTTTGCTTTAATACCTTAAATATTTTTTCTTTTTAACAACTATATTTTTAATTTTCATTATCATTTAATAATAACTATTATGATTATTATTTATTATTTTCATATCATAATCATTGTGCCTGACTTTAAATATACTTTGTTAGAAATATATGATAGAGGAAAATGAAAAAAAAAAAGGAAACAAAAGAAAAAATTGTAGTGTATTTTTTTTATTAAGGATATTATTAGATTAATAGTTATGTTTTGTTGTTACATTTGTTTTCATATTTTTGTAAGGTTTCTTATTGCTTTTAAATCATATTATCCTTTTTTAATATTGCTTAACAATTTATCTTTGAGATATTATCAAAAATGTAATATTATTGAAATATTGTTAGTTTCATGCAAACTACTTATAACTATTTTTTTTTTTTAATTTCTTTTATTTAATTAGCTTTTATTTTTTTAAATCATTTAATAATTTTTATTTATTAATTTTTTTTTTACCTCCTTAACGTCCAGAGGAACACTAAAGCCAAAAAAGTCTTTTTTTTCATTTTTATTTATGTTAACTTCATATGCTCCAAGTTCAAAGTTCCTTTTTCTTTTTCTAGATATTTGCATTTTTCGGTTACAAAAAATGAAATTAGTCCAATTTTAAAAAAATGTTAGGTTCAAGTTGATGTAAAACAAAATAAAAAATGACTTTAATTACTCTATAATTTTATATAAAGTAACTTTTTAAATCAATTAAAGTTAATTATTAAAACCTAAGATCCATTTACTTACATTTCCTTGCTCTATCTCCTGACAACACATAATTATGACCCAGGTCTCCATTTCATACACCATACGCCAAAATACCTCCATAGAATCAATATTTGGTGTCTGTACAACAATAAATGAAGATTTTGCCAAATAGGTATCAATAAAGCTTGCATTAATATAGTCCGAACCTTCTTCATTAGATTTTTTTAACTTTACTCTATTATAGTCAAATGGTTTAATACAATCATCTGTGTTCTTAGCTTTATTACATGGAAGGCTAGCAACTAATGATTTGCGATTGTTGTTACACAGATTCTTAACAATAAAATCAAACTCTTCAGTAAAGCGAGGAACTAAAATTTAAACCAAACAGATAAAAAAAAATCATAAAAACTGCATCTAATTTCTAACTAATAAGTCTCATTAAACTCTATAAATCTTTATTAAGTCTTGTAATGTTGGATTCTTAATATATATATATATATATATATATATATATATATATATATATATATATATATATATATATATATATATATATATATATATATATATATATATATAGGGTCAGCTTGATCTATCTACTTGTAGATTATGTTTTGTTTTTTTGGTAAAATGATGGGAATAGTTGATCTTACCAATTTGCGTGCAATTCAACAAGACAGAACTAAATGATCAATGCAAAAATGCTGTCTTGTTAAATGCCGAAATGAAAGAATTTTGTAATGTAAAATGTAGTGTTGACACAACCAAGCGTTGTTGGAGGTCTGCAAATCTATTTAGAAGATGTCCCGCATAAAAAACCTTTCATTTCTATAATAAATCGAAAGGCATGCTTCAGATTTGCTAATGAACATTTGAATTGGTCAAGAGAACAATGGTCTAAAATACTTTTTAGTGATGAGTCTAAATTTATGTTATTTGGATCTGATGGTATTAGATATGCTTGCCGACCAAAAGGCCATAGAAATGATCCTAAATACCAGCTACCAACAATAAAGCACGAAGGGGGAAACATTATGGTCTGGGGTTGCTTTAGTAGAGATTGTGTTGGTCCTATCCATTTGATTGATGGCGCAATGGACAAAAAGATGTACAAAGATTCCATTAAGGATGTTATGTTACCACATGATTAAGACAAAATATCTCAAGGATGGATATTTTAGCAGGACAATGACTCAAAGCACACTTCAATACTTGTGAAAGACTTTTTCAATACCAAAAATTTGATTAATGGAATGGGCTTTGCAAAGTCCTGACCTTAATCCTATTGAACATCTATGGGATCACTTTGATTGACAAATTTCAGGTAGGAAATCAACAAGTAAACATGATTTATTCAAGTTCTGAATCAAAGAGTGGGAAAAAATAGACAATAATGTGATTATGAAGCTTTTGGACTTAATGCCTTGTTGCTGTCAAGCAGTAATCAATGCTAAGGGTTTCTCGACAAAGTATTAAAGAAAATTTACTTTAAATAACAACATTTTAAATTAAAAAATGTTAAAAAAAAAATCTACTTCAAGTATTTTTTTCTGCCCCGATACTTTTGCATGCCCATTTTTCAATAAAATAAACTTTTAAGATAAAGTTGCTTAGATTTAAAAAAAATTCTTTTGTTGTTAGAGTTGCAATCAGTTTTTTAACATCCCAGTGAAAATTTGAAAAATATTGAACTTTTCATTCAAAAGCTATCTCAAATTATGCGCTTGTCTGGTTACTTTTGCACGCTACTGTAATTCAAGAGTTGATTTATGTAAATAATTTACAGATAAACATTTATCAGCATATAGCCACAAATCTTTCTTTTAACTACTGTGTTTTTTATGTTTTTAAAGTGTCTTCAGCACATATTTCATGAATCAGCTTTCCTTATTGCAATAATATCATATTGGAGGTAAATTTTTCTCAATACGCTTTTAAATAAAAAAAGGAACAATATCAGACTTTTTAAATTTTTTAAAAGACTGGAGATACTGTCAACCTCATTATCTCCATTATAGCAAATATCAAAACATTTTATTTTCTTCTCAGTTTTTTCACTAACCAACCTTTGTTTGTTTGCTAATCAATAACCTTTAAATTTTTTTCTTACTTAACTATTTACTTTGCAAATATTTTTGCGCAACAATTTTTGAACATGCAATCCTTTCTGATCATTGAGAAAATTTACATCTTCTTGTCAACTTTATAAAACTTTTATCTTTCAAGATGATAACTTCACAGTTTTTTTATTTATTATCAAATAAAGCCTCCTCTTTTAAAACCACATATTCATCTTAATGGTTTTGTGTTTGTTTAAATTCTTTTTATTCCTTTTTAAGTCAACAATCTTGTTTCTAAATGGAAAATCAAAAGTATTAAAGGTATTGTAAATAAAAACATTATTATATTGATATTTTTATCATGAAATTACTATATTATTAAGTCAATTTAAATTTGGACTGAATTCTAAATTTTACTATAGGGTAATTCCACATCAAATCACCCAAATTTTTCAAGATTTTGAACCATAGGTCTCATATTTTCTTTAAACTTCTTTAGCTGTTGCATTTCATATAGAAAAGTTCACATGCAAAATTTTAGCCAAAAATGTTCAGCCGTTCACAAGATATCAAGGTTTTAATATAGACCTGGTTTCCCAAAATGACCTGGTTTCTGTGTCATTTTAAAAAAACGTTTGCTCTAATAAAATGAAAAATAATGAAAATAAAAATATGAAAATTAGCATTTATAATGCTTTTCTAATGTAGAATTCAAAAAATGCACTTAGAATGCTGAAATATGAGCAGAACATGCTTTAAAATTAAAAACACACCTAATTTATATATTCAAACTTAGGGGTCATATATCTCAAAACACCCCCGTCTAGATTTTTTTTTTTTTGCTTTTAATATTTTTAGCTACTTATTATCTTACTAGGCACAAAAAACCTAACTGGAAAAACAACTAAAACATATAGAACCATAGTTTCCAAGATACACCACTTTTATGGGTGCCCATAGCAATTTTCTAACGAGGGGGAGGGGTGAGGGAACAACAAAATATTTTTAGTGATGTTCTAATTTAGTTCAATTTACCAAGAATACTTAAAAAAAAGCATATTGCAAAAGATATGGTGAAAACAACTTTTTTTTATTACAGTTAGAGGGGAGGAGAATAGTGTTTCAATAACACCTGGCATTGCCATATCTCTGTCATTTAAACCATTTAGCCAATAAAACATATCAAACTACTTTGTATGAACAGTAGTTACTTAGTAGTGATAAGTTGTAGATGATAAGTTGAGACATCATTGTTAACTCTTATCAAGCTCCAATTATCCTACAGCCAAAGATTTGGAAATATCTAATACTATATCATTATTTAATATATTTAAAACTAGAGCTTTTTTTTTTACTGAAAACTAAGTAGGAAAGTTCTTTTTTTTTTTGTATCCTTCGAATTGCTTTTTTCTTACTGCAAAAGCATTCAATACACTTCATTGCAAACTAATTAAAAAATTAAAAGGGTATGGCATCACTTAAAAGCTGCTAAAAATCTTCCTAAAGATAGTACATGTGTAGCAAATTATAGAATTCTGTAAAGAATTAATTTTGGTTAATAGGCTTTTTATATATTTAAGGAAGTCTTAATTATATGATAACTTAATTATATGAACTTAACAACTGAAAAAACATCCGGTTTTGTTTTTATATAAAAACATTTTATAAAAAATAATTGTTATGTTAATATGATATTTTTTTTAATTTTGACAACTATAGTTTGTAAAAGTTTATTAAAAATTAGTTTATAAAAGTTTAGTTTATAAAAGTTCAGATATAGAACAACATTTATTGGTAAGATTATATTTAAATTTTAAAAAATTAATAATTTAAATAATATAATTATTTAAAAACTTCTTTTTTTACAACATTTATTATTAATATTAATAATAATAATATTAAGAACAACATTTATTAAAAATTATATTTATTAAAAAACTTTTTTTACATACATTAAGTAGAAGAATTTTATTTTTATTTTTAGGAAATACTTTCATACTAAATAATTTATCTTATTAAGATGTGTTCTATTGGGTTAATGACATCAGATGCTTGCGAAGGCCAACAAGATGTTATTGAAACTTTAAGCAATGAAGAAAAAATAATTATATCTTTACGCTGTAATATTGAATTATCAAACTTAGAAATATTATGTGAAAGACATAATACAAAATATTTGAAAATGTATCCTATATGGCAGAAAGCTTGTTGTGATCCATTCAATAGACATACAAAGAAAATCACAAGTATGTAGCTGTAAAATTTAAATATTTCATTAATTTATGTTTTTCAAAAAATAAACGAAAGTTTTGAACTAATGTGCAGACATACTTTATACAATTCAATTACTTTTAGAAAATCTTGGCGTAGTTACAATAAAAGAGTCACAAGTCATGATGAGAAATTGTTTGAATATTCCTCCTGGGAAGAAACTTTGCAAACCTTGTAAACAAAAGATTGCCAGAAAAAAAGAACTTACAGAAGAGGAGCAAAGTAAGAGTGAACAAGATGAGGATTTTCTAATATCACCATGCAAAAAAATAAGACAGGAGATCAATAAAGAACTCAAAAATTTTAGTTTATCTCCTCTAAAATCTCATTCAAAATCATTAAAACATATACTGTCAGAAGGAAAGCAAAAAGTTGCATGCATCAACGAAATGGCGTATAACGCTACTAGAAAAATTGAAACTCAATTTTCCTCAAAACTATGTTATGAAACCAATGGGATGAAAAAGAAGGCTGCAAACTTTGATGAAATTATGAGCTTGGTAAAAGAAAAAATTCTATGTTCTGACAAACGAACTATTGTTCAACTTCTAACACTGGCACCCCCAAGTTGGTCAATATTAGAAGTACAAAATAACTTTTCGGTTACAGAATACCAGGCCAAGATGGCTAGAAAAATTTTTAATAAAAAAGGATTGTTAGGTATCTCTCCATTGTATAAGGGTAAAGTCTTACATAAAGAAATAGAAGATTCAGTTAAATTGTTTTATGACTCAAGTGATTTATGTCGAACTATGCCTGGAAAAAAAGATTATGTCAGCATTCAAAAGAACGTCCACAAACAAAAAAAACTGCTTTTGTGTAATTTAAAGGAACTATATGTATTATACAAAGAAAACAATCCAGAAATACAAATAAGTTACTCAAAATTTGCTTCACTTAGACCAAAGTGGTGCATTTTGCCAGGTGCAAGTGGTACACATTCTGTTTGTGTTTGTTCTTATCACCAAAATGCCATTTTGCTAGTGGATGCCTTAAATATTGAACTAACGTATAAGGATTTACTTTTGAAAACTGTTTGCTCAGTAGAAAACAAAGAATGCATGCTTGCACAGTGTGATAATTGTCCTGGTAAAGAACTGCTCACCATGTATTTGTATGAGATTTTTGGAGAATACGAAGATGATTTTGAGATACACTACAAACAATGGCAAACTACTGATCGTGCAACACTATTGAGTTTAACAACAGATGTTCCAACGTTTATTGAACTATTGGTATCTTGTTTTGAAAAGCTACAATCTCATTCTTATATTGCCAAATCTCAATCACAATACCTTAATCAACTAAAAGAAAATATGGATCAATCAAACATTATCATTCTTGGCGACTTTGCTGAAAATTATGCTTTTGTAGTCCAAGATGAAATACAGAGCTATCACTGGAACACCCAACAATGTTCTTTACATCCATTAGTGATATACTATAAAGAAGAAAATGGTGTAGTGAAACATATTTCTTACTGTTTTATATCAGACGACATTATACACGATGTAACTTATGTATACAAGATATTTCAACTAATTATACCAATATTAAAAACAAAATTTCTTGATTTATCCAAATTGCATTTATTCACTGATGGTTGTGCAGGACAGTACAAAAATTGTAAAAGCTTTTACAATCTATGCCAACTAGAGACAGAATTTTCCCTCAAAATTGAATGGAACTTTTTTGCCACGTCCCACGGAAAGTCACCATGCGATGGAATTGGTGGTACTGTAAAAAGGTTAACAGCACAAGAAAGTTTAAAACGACCATACAGAAACCAAATTCTCACATCAGAGGCTATGTATGAATTTTGTGTTGAGAAAATTAAGGCTGTTAACTTCATTTACATAAAGGGATTGGACTTACAATTGCAACGTGAAAAGCAAAAAGAAAGGTACACTGATGTAACAACTCTACCAGGTACTCGTAGCTTTCATCAATTTATACATCTTGGAGATAATAGGGTTGGGGCGAAGAGGTGTAGTACAGACACTAAATATACAATAATTCACAATCTTAAAAAGAAACATATGTTTGAACCTGATACTGTCACTTTAGGAGGTTATGTTGCGGTAGTTTATGATGATAAGTGGTGGATCGGCATTGTAACTGAAATCAACCTAGAAGAAGTTGATGCTGAAGTTAAGTTTCTCCACCCAAGAGGTCCATCAATCTATTTTAACTGGCCTGAAAGAGACGACCACTGTTTTATTCCTAACATCAATATATTGAAAAAACTATCTGTTCCACAAGCTTGCTCTAGTTCTGGTAGAAACTATGTGTTTGAAAATGTTGAAATAGAAGAAGTGCAAGTAAAATGGCAACAATATTGTGAACTATTACAAATACAGTCAAAATAACTTGCACATTCGATACCTTTAAAAATCTTGTATATTTAAGTAACTTTGTAAATTAGGAATAATTTATTTTAATTGAATTTATAAATATTTTTTAGGAATTTCTTAAAAAAGTTATACATCTTTAAAATTAAAGTTCTATATGTTTCAGTTTTTTTTCCAGTTAGATTTTTTGTGCCTAGTAAGATTATAACTAGCTTAAAATATTGAAAGCAAAAAAAAAAAAAATTTGACGGGGGTGTTTTGAGATATTGGGCCCTAAAGTTAGATTATATAAACTAGTTGATTTATTAATTTTTAAGGATGTTCCTCTAACATTTCAGCATTTTAAGTACATTTATTGAATTCAGCATTAAAAAACCATTATAAATGTATATTTTTATATTTTTGCCATTTTTATTTCTTATTTTATTGAGGAAAACAACTTTTCAGAATGTTATGAAAACCGGGTCATTTTGAGAAACCAGGTCCAAATTAAATTTGCTGTATCTTGTCAACCGCTTGACATTTTTAGCTGAAATTTTGCATGCAATATTTTTTTATAAATAGGAATCATGTGTCAAAATTTAAAACAAAAAGAAGACACATGGTTCAATGGAGTGGGTGATTTGATGTGGAATTACCCTATAATATAGTAAACACCTCATATGTTAGTCAGTATTTTCGTCACCTAATAAAGGACACATAGTAAATTTTTTTACCATAAAACAACCTCTTATTTCAATACATTAAGCCGTAAAAAAAATAGACATAAAGCAATATTTGTAGAAATGTTTGAAAAATTAACACATAGCATAACCTCTGTAATATATTTTTCTTAACAAGCAATTGTGTTATGGGTTATTTATTATTTTTTATTAATAATATTTTACTTATCACCCTCTGTAAAATATATTTACAAGGTAAATCCACAAACTAAGAAAAAGAGATAAAAAAAAGTATTATTTAGGAACGTTTTCTTTAAGTGTCTTTTTAAAAATTGTTCGCTGTTCTTTTACATTCCAACATTGAACTGCGTGTACCAAAATATGAAGAGTAGCTTCAGGAATTACATCCTCTAAAACTTTAAGTTTTACTTTTTTTTAACCAGCATTAAGGTTTTCATATTCAGTTTATGATTATCACATAATTCTTTTATATCACCTAAAAAAGAAAATTTAGCTGAACAGTAGTTAAGTTGGGAGTTAATGATTTCAAAGGTTACTTTATTGTTTAAAGGTGAATTTCCACTTATCTGTTTTTTTACAGGAACGGGAAAGGGAAAGGAAAAATAATCACGTGGGCATGCGTATTTTAAGTTTTAATTTTTCCGAAGAAAAACTACGCATGCTCACTAGATTATTTTTCCCTTTCCTATCCTGTTCCCGTAGAAAAAAGGATGAGTGGAAACTCACCTTAAAAGGCGGATAAATAGATTTATTTTGTTTTGGTGTATATAATTTGACATCTCTATAATTTTAAATAGAGAGTGTATATAGTTATTACTATACTTGGAGACATTAAAAATTGATTTAACTGCGTTCCTTCCAAATGTGTTGAGTCTTTTCATTGTTGAATCTTTATTTTCACAGAGCTCTAGACCGTGGGTTAACGTCGGAACTACTAATGATTTATATAATTAGATAATAAATCTTGGATGTGCAAACCGGATTCCAGATTGAATCAGAGTTTGCACTGTTTATTATGTGTTATGTAATTTCAATTCTTTTTCCACATGAAATACTTCAAAATGAGATATTTTTTTTCAACAATTGCTTGTTGACATTATTTTTATTTACACAAAAAAAAAATTTAAAAATTTGACAAACTTCTTTTTTGACTCCTCTACTACTTACCCCCCCCCCTTCAACCACCCTCAACAACCCCAAAATATACACCATGACTTTAAATGGGTAGGACCAACTATTACCATCATCTTTACTAAAATATATATATATATATATATATATATATATATATATATATATATATATATATATATATATATATATATATATATATAAAATCTAAATTTTTATAGATCTAAATTTATATAGATCAAGGTACACAAGTAACAGTCAATATATTTTCAAAGTATTTGTAAGTCACCCTGCCCCCACCATAAATACAAAAATTTGAATTTTTTTATTTTCAGACTGCTACCAAGTTTTCAGGTATGCTGGTAAGTAAGTTTTTTTTTTTATTTGGAAAAATGTATTAATATTTTCTATTTTAATGCAAGTAAAAGTTCATCTTTTCTTGCTATCCCATTTCCGAGAAAACAAAATGTGCTTCTTAGTCATACCCCTTCATATATATATATATATATATATATATATATATATATATATATATATATATATATATATATATATATATATATATATATATATATATATATAAACATATATCAGCATATAGCCTGTAAAAAAAGGTAAAAAACATATATATATATATATATATATATATATATATATATATATAAATATATATAGGCGGAAAAAAACATAAATACATGACTTAAACATTTAGAAACAAACTTAATTCATAGCAGTTGATGATAATTGATTACTCTTTTTGTTCTTATAAAGTTTAATATTTGAAAAAATCAGTTAGTCCTTATTGATTTTTCTCATGTAACTAACAACTTTGTTTAAAGTAGCTAGAAATTTAGTAGAAAAAACAATAAATACAGAAATTGTCAATTTTTTTTTTCTTTAATTTACAACTGTTACTACTTTTTGAAAATGTGGGTTGTGGTTATCAGTAACACCACATGTGTAGGATCACTTTCCCCCCTCCCCTAAAAACATCTAAACCTGGCTACTTTAGTAACCCTGTTTAACTGCTATGACCTCCATTTGCCATTGAGTAATGTTATACTGTTGAGGCCTTGTTTTAAAGTGTTACGCCTAGAGCGATTTATGTACGCCTTAAGCAATTTTTACGTACGCGTAGAGCTGTTTTGGTTAAGCTACTTTTTATCATTTTTTAACTTTTAAATTAGCGGTAACATAAAAGAAGTAATTAATTTAAAAAAAAAACGCATTAACTTTTGAATAACGATATGTAAAAATATTTATTACAAAAAAGAAGTTACGTTAAAAATAATTGTAGTAACTTTTCATCGTGATATATCTTACCTTTTTATAAAAATAAATTTTAGGCTAAACTTTTTATTCAAATATTAAGTAACATGAAAAGTTGTTTGTCAATTCTTAACTACAATTTTTTTGCAAATGTTTTTAATAAAAAGTAGTAATTTTTTAATGTCTTCAGTAAAAAGTTTTTTAAAAATCTATATTTCAAAATTATTAATACAGATTATAAATATTTTTTGTAATACAAATTTTTTAAGGGTTTTTTACTAAATTCATATTAAAAAACATTTGCAAAAAGTTTGTAATTTTTGACATTTTTTCTAATATCTCTTAATATTTTTGTTATCATGATAACAAAAATATCAAGACATTTTTTCGAGATACTAAAAAAAATGCGCCAATGAATGAACAATTTATTTGTATTGTACTGAAAATTACTTCATTAATTATTACTCTTAGCTTTTCTTATTAGTTAAAGGTACCTTTACCTTTAAGTTCAGCGGAGGGAGGGGGCCGGCACAGAAAAAAAAAATTACCTGTTACTTGCAATTTTTGATTGAAGACAATTTGTTAAATTTCTTTTGCGTGCAATTCAATAAGTTTTTTTTTTCATAAATCAAGTTATATTATAAGGAAAAGAAATCACAAGTAGACTATAACATCCGCTGATGATACTAATATTACGTTGAATATATTTATATAACGGAGGTTTCATTATGCACACGCACATTACAGACTCAGTTAAATAAATACTAAGGCACCTTTTAGTTTAATGACAGTCTCTATTTTTTACTAATGACTTTGTATTTTTCTGTATAAAATAAGACAAACTTGTATATAAAAACCTAGTATATTTCTATTCTCTCCAAATTGTTTAAAGTTCGAATATGGATTGTATTTTGAAGGACAAAAGATTTACTTTGAAAACTTTTAAATCCTGGGACTTTGCCGATGCTTTTCTAATTGATTTTATTTTTATAACTGATTTATTTACTTTGTAAACTTTTAAACCCTGGGACTTTGCCGATGCTTTTCTAATTGAAACTATCACAGAAAAAGAGAAGATTTACGTTATTAAAATCAAATGTAAGTTATGTTATCTTCATCAAAATAAAATATTATACAAAACCAATGGTGCTGTAACGACAGCTGCCCTACCGTTTATAAATGACACGAGTCATGTTAAAATATTTTAACATGTTACTATATTTTATTTAAGTTAGTATATAAATAAAAATAAAAATAAAGTTTAATAAATAAATTAAATTTGTTCTTATCAAAGATTACCTAGGCAATTTAACTTGGAATAATAAAAAAAAAAAGAATAAATATGAGGTACCACATACTTAATCTTTTTTTATTTTATTACTCCAAGTTAAATTGCTTACTAACGGAAAAAAAAAAAAGAGTTTTGCAATTATACGTAGAATGAAAATACTTTTGAGTTCGTTTATAAGTTAAGGAACTTAATTTTTAATGAGCAAATTTTAACAAACGTTTATTATAAACAGATACAATTCAAATTATTAAATATACTTATATTATTTTAGTTGAGTATTTTTTTAAATTTGCACGATTAAAGTTTTGCGTAGAAGTATTTGTTTTTTGTTTTAAGAATAGTTAACAAAAGAGTTTGCATAATTAAGACTTTTATATCTAATTTAAGTTTTTTTTAAAATTCCTATAATTAAAAAAAAAATTTAATCGATTTAAAAAAATTTTCCTAAAATTAAAAAAAAAAATTTAATCGATTTAATCGTTGAAAACGATTTT